AAAGAAGAAATTGGACTGTAGAAGACTGAAAAAAGATAGTCTGGACAGATGAGTCTACATTTTCACAGTTTCGAAAACTGGATAGGGAAGAATGTGGAGAAAGCCAGAAGAAAAATTTAATGAAGATTGCATTGCATCAACAGTAAAACATTCTCCTCAAAGAATGTTTTGGGCATGTTTTTTCTTTTTAAAATTAGGTCCCATTATTCCACTTGAAGGTTCAGTAATTGGAAATGTATACAAAGAGGTGCTTTCCACTTATGCGGTTCCCACACTCAAAGCATTTTTCCGGCAAACCAAAAAAAATTCATTTTTCAGGAAGACAATGCACCAGTTCACACATCGAAGGTTGCACGAGAGTTTCTGCATTCTCAAAATGTAGAGGTGCCTTCCATGGCCTTCTCAAAGTCCCGATCTCAACCCAATTGAGAACTTGTGGGCTGTAGTTGAGGTGAAAATTTGAAAACATAACCCTCAATCATCAAGCATTCGTGAACTTGAAAAGGTGGTAAAAGAGGTTTGGGAAGCGATACCACAAAAAGTGTATCGTGACTTGGTGCGATCAATGCCAAATAGAATTCAGGCGGTGATCGATGCTAAAGGAGGACATACTAAATATTGATGTGTTATTTGTGAATATAAAAAAAAATGATCTACTATCCTAATAAAAAAAAATTTTATTGCTAAAATAAAACCGTGCAATATTTTTGTCCCCCTCGGTACGTTCGTCAGACATGGATATGTCGTGCTCTGGATCATTTCCTAGTTTTTTTTTTTTATTTATTAGACTTAGAAGTATAGTTGTAAGGCTTTCTACATATATAAAAAAAAAAGAGATCGAAAAAGAGATTGAGAAGTAAGAAATTGGAGACTCCATTATACACGTCTGACGTAAGTTTAAAATTGACGTACACGCTTAATTTTATTTTGGTTCAATGATTATTAAATTCCGAAATTGAATTACTGCAGTGATCATCTTAAATTTATGAGAAACTCGTTCTAGGTGATATTTGAGAATTTTATTGATGTAAAAAACTTATTTTTTTACCTTTTACATGTTTAAGCGAAGTTATACCTACTTGTGAATCTTGAGATTTATTTTACGTTTTAATATAAAAAGAGCGTTATATATAATATATTCAATAATTCTTTGAAAACGGACAATTTGAATGAAAAGAATGTAAATGAAGATGTATATATTTCTATACATAAGAAATAAATTTTTTAATAATTTAAAAGTGTTTTGTCACGTATAAAGCTTTACGAAATGACGTTTAGAAACAATAACTTTTTACGGATCATATATCCTTTTGCTTTGTTATGTGGTATTTAAAAATCCAAATGCAAATACCCCATTGAGTTGTCCATGTAGTAATGATATATAATACATATACTTTATATATTTATAATTTCATAATTTGACTTTTTCTATTATACCTCCATATACTATATTTGTTGTGTTATTGTTTATTACACAAAAATTGCGTCAAACATAAAAGACGATTCAAAAAAAAAAAAAATAGATAAAGTAATGATTAAGCACTTATATAATATTATATGGGCACAACTAATATGCTATTATGACGAATATCCGAAAGTTGGATTGCTTTGGTAAACTATAATTAGATGGCACGGATAAATATTTAAGGATTCACTGGATTTTATTAAATATTTTATAGATGAGATAAATATTCAAAATTACTTGAAGATAATCATTTTTAACTTAAGGTATCTAAGGATCTGGTTACAAAATAATTATTGTAAATTAATGATCTGGATTAATTAATAAACAAAGAATAGCTCATTGCGATTTAAATCCTGGAAATGTAATTTATTCACCGATTTATAAGTTATCATGAATTATTATATGTAATTTAAAAATATTTATGCTTCACCGCCGGTGACATCACCTTTCATGATAATTCAAGTTAGGGCAGCTTGGGATCAGTGAATTTATTAATAAACGGCGGCAAGTGTTGACGATTAGAAATTACCTATTTTATTTTTATTTAAAATATTTGATATAACAAAATTATCAAATTTTAAATAATAAATTTTTCCAGAAATTTCCGTTTAAATTTGAATATATTTTTGCTCCAATGAACTTTTTGATAAATTTCAATTGAGTTTTGATGAAATATTTTAAATTGATTAAATAATCTAATATCAAATTCATTATTTCACTACTTTAAGCTTAAATTAATGAATTACTTTCTTTATTATATCAATTGCAATATCAATTTGTAGTTTTTAAAGCGTTGAAACCACATCTTTAAATTTGCACGCCTTTTGATTCACAATTCCAATATTATAATGGTAATATCGCTCGCTTGTTTTGATTATCTGATTATTTGGATCAGTATAAGTTGTTACGTCCAAATCTATTAATAAACCTAATCTGCCAACCTGATACTTTTTGGTTTTTTTGTAAGTGTATTGTTTACATGCCGTTATTAAAGAAATTTAATTGTTTATTTAAATATAATTTAAAAATTTTAAAGAAATCATTATGAACAATATAACTACACATTGCTAATTTCAATGTTATTTGATTTTTATCATTCCAACCAAGTTCTCAAAATTCTCATTTAATTAAGTATTTAAAGTATCACCATTAGTATATATTAGAGGTTGGAAGCGGTTTTATTTTCACAAACCGGTTTTTAATTTGAGACTCGGATTTAAACCGAATTTAATAAACCTGAAAAAACCGAATTACGATAAGTTTTGTAATGCAATATAACGATAATGTTAACATAATATTTTTTTTCTTTGATTTTATTAATTTTTAATAAAGGAATAAATATTTAAGTTAATTATATGTTTAAAATGATAGATAGATAAATATGACATTTTTTAAAAAATAAGTGAAATAAACAGAAAATTGAAAATTCTAAGAAAAGTTTTAGATTTTTTTTTTTTAAAAAAAAAAAAAATTTGAAGATTTAACAAAATTAAATTTAATTTTAAAATAAAAAATTTATTTATAAAAAAATAACAGGATGTGGGCAAATGAAAATTTTTTTTTTTTTTTTTTGTTTGCCATGCCATGCAACATTTCCCATGTAGTCCCATCGTTTAGCATGAACGCATTAACGAAGCTTCTTTTATCGTCCTCCACGTGGCTGAAGGAAATTATTATAAAAATTTCAATTTTAAATTTTTTTTTTTTTTTTGAGTTTCAATCGCATCTTAATTGTTGCTTATTTGAAAAAGTTTTGATTAAAATTAAATTAAATTTAAAAAAAATTTCAAATCGCGGGGGTAGAATTAAAAATCAATAAAATAAAATAAAATACGGTATAAAAAAAATAAATTTAGATAAGACATTAATTTTAAATTTAATTAGAAAAATAATTAAGAAAAAATTTAAATATTAAAACCTCATTATAAAGAAACAATTAAAAAAAAATATATTTCGCGAATATAAAAAAATTAAAAAATTAATAGAAAAATAGAAAAATAAAAAATAAAAATACAATATTACGAAAACTGAAAATAAGTAAATATATTACATTTACAATAAAATTAATAAATAAATAAAATTAAAAAGTCAAATAAATTATAATATATTTTATTTTGTTGATATAAAAAATCAAAGAACTTATGCAATACGTTTATTAAAGATAATTAGGTCTCCTTAACGTTAATATAAAATCACTTTTTCAAAAAATTCACATATCAAATATAATATGACGGTTATAGTTCTATCTCGATGTTAAAAATACAAAGCTAATTCAGGATTTTAAACTTTAAGATTCCGTACAAAAAACCAATATTTATTCAATAAACCATTTGACTAAGTATTTGATTCAAGATGACAGTTTTCTTGGTACTCTCCGCTAGGAATGGAATCATTTTTTTGTGGCACAGTAAGTGCGACTATATCCTCCTCCACCACTATTATCAAAAAAAAAAAAAAATCGAAAAACTAAGAAAGAACTTAACCTTTGTCTACTGAAGCGAACAAAAAACAATACCATAAAATAATCTGATTGCTGCACAATGCGATTGAAACTAAAAAAATTATATAATAAAAAGATCAAATAAATCCTTACCTTTTCCTTCCGAAGTGATCCAACTCGAAAGATGAACTTAAGAGAAAAAATAATAAATCAGCCGTGACCAGCGATAGAACTCAAAAGTAAAAATGAAAAATTTAAAATTTAAATTTAAAAAAAAAAAAATTGGCAAAGCCGAAAGAGGATCATTATCAATAAAAGAATAATTTTAGAAACATCGAAAATGAAAATGGAATAATCGAACCCAAAATTAGTAAATAAATAAATAACAATAATGGTTAATAAAAAATTTAAAACTCACGATTATAAAAAAAATAAAATTCGTGGATATAAAAAAGATAATTAATTGAAAAATTTAAAAAATAAAAAATAATTTAAAAAATTTAATTATTTAAAATAAAATAAAATAAAATAAATTTATTAATTCGATTTGATTAGAATCGATTCCAATCCCTAGCTGAAGGATCCATTCGAAATGCAACTGACTGCCGCTGCGGCAAATCAATTCTTTTTTTAAACAAAAAAAAAAAATATTTAAACAACCCTTATTCCTTGAGGTAGATTCCTCCTCTATCTTATCCTCTACCTTTAGTATTAGTGTTAGTGTTGGTGTTTGTATTAGTGTTAGTGTTAGTGTTATATAATAATGGCCGGTCGTTGGCGTTACACAAATCGCCTAAAAAGTATATTAAATTATTAATTTTTTTTTTTGTGTTTGTGTTTTGCTTGTGTGATAATGAATCACTATTTGGGGGCTAGTCAATAGAAAAAGGAAGCCTAAATTTTTTTTATTGACTGATCACAATCAAGTGCTTAAAATTAGTTTAGGAACTAAAATGAAAAATTTAGATTTCCTCCTCTTTTACTGACGAGCTCCCATTTAATGTTTTTGATCATTATAAGTTCATTGTTATTAAAAGCGAAGTTTTTTTTTAGAAAAATTTGGAAACACTCACCACCCCATTGCATTAATATCTAATGGGACTATTAGATTTTGCACCTGAATACATTGTTAGTAGTCTCTCGGCCATTGCAATTATGGGAGATTCGCCCTATGATTTCTGCGAAAGTTAATGTGGTTCTTTCGATGCTTTGGGTGTCCCTTTGATGGGCTGTTTCACTCCCTCAACGTAGGAGGTGAAAAAGAATCTTGCTGTTTATTTTGGCTTTCAGCCAATTATTTTAAGTTAAAAAACAACGAAGACTCAAATGACAAAGGAACAGACCGTCATCCAAAATACAGACCTTTTGGATTTTATGCAATGAAACTGAAAAATAAAAAAGATATAATGGAATACGTAAAACAATGCACAGCAAAATTACCCATGCTAGAAAGAGTTTCTTTATTGATTACATCATACTACATAATAGTTGGTGTAAAGGAAGGATTTTCCATGATAAAAGGAACGGTCGTTTGTAAGCATTGGGCATATTTGTCTTTTTTATTTTCCTGGACCCTTATTTCAATTTGGAAAAGAGGAATATACGGGATTCAAGTAGTTAAAGATCCTAAAGATGTTTTTAAAAAAAATATAGAAATTATTGTGGATGACAATCCTATAGGTGAATTTCCATTTCGAAAATGTGCGACCGTCACGATAACTGCTTTATTATCAATAGTTTATCCTTGGGGGACCGTACTTATTGTCTACTTTACACCCCCGGTTGGATATTATTGTCGCAGCAAATATGTAACAGTAATCTGCTCCATCTGGTCATTTAACAGTGCTTTGGCTTATATTTACCATATAAAAGGAGAAAGTGATTTAATAATGTCTGAGGAAAGTGATTTAATCGTGTCAGGGAATGGGTGGTTACATGTTTGGTTTTGCACGTCTGGTTTTATAGTGGCAATTCTCGTGTTATTTATAGGAATTTTTACCGGGTATAACACATTGTGGGTTGATTATTTCGGATTTGTCAAGCATAGGATGCTATTGAACTTATCTGCAATTCAATTTTAAAATAAATATACCTTTTTTGTCAATATCAAAAAAATTAAGAAAAATTTTGTGCGACAAATATAAGCAACTTTGCATAATCATATGATTCATTTACCAAAATTTTTGATCATCTCAATCAAACAAATGAATCGAAACAATGAAGGTGAGGTGCAATGACATTGATCATTCCTGGGATAATGGATATCCTTTGAAGCATATTAAAAAAAAAATATCTCAAAGCTATTTCGTATTTGTTATTTGTGCTTTTTTCATCTATAGTGTGAAAATTTAATTTTTTTATTCATATGAAAATAAATTTCATTAAAAGGGTTTATAAAATAAACATTTCTTAAATATTTTAGTCATAACACTTCTTTGACTTAGCAATATTTTGTTTGTTTAGTTCTGTAGTTTTAAGGATTACGTTTATACAAAATTTATTTTACAAAAAGATATTAAATAATAGGATTATTTTTTGACCGACTACTCGAGACAAACTGATGTTCTGGAGGAATAATTGCGTATCCACTCTTATTATGTCCCAAAGAATACATGTTGCGGTAAGAAACCGAGTATCTCTAGAGACAACAAGATCAGCAATAAAAAAAAATTTTGATATTTGCTGCGACTTATTTGAAAAAGAAACGATGAATTCTGATATTGATTTTAAAATAAATAGTACTGTATTTTATTCGAAGGGTATATGGAAATCGCTACGGTACGAATTTCCATATAAAATTATGCGTTGCTATTGCATAAAGTAATGTATAATTTTTTTGAAATCGTTTCAAAATACAAATTCAAGCAAGAAAAAAAGAAAAATTTGGCCATTTCCAACGTACATAATTTTCTATATTATAATTATTATTATTATTTTTTTTTTTTTTTTAAAAAAAAAAGTATAACAAAATATTATTAGAAATATAGAAATATGTTTCTCATTTTGCATTAAGAAATTTATGCACTTTGGCTTAAAAAAAATGATTTATTGGTCAAGCTTTATGACCATATATATATTTTATTGCACAACAAATTTACAAATCATTTGTGTTCGTCTTAACAAAAAGGTTGTTTAAAGGTTTAATTATAAATTATAATTTTAACTATTTAAACAACTTACAAATCTCCAGAATTTGTCTAGCAACTTTAATTCTATTTGATATAATTTTTATATTTATATGTATAAAAATAATTAAGCGGTGAAAGCCTCTTTAATTTTCATAAAAATCAATTCAAAATAATTTTAAAATTAAATTATACAATTATAATTCATTGCTTACTATTATTTTATCGGTTAATACAGTAATTTCTATTTATAATAAATATTCGTTCAGTCATGCAGGGTCTTCCCAGAAATTAAATGAATTGATATTTCAGCATACAATAATTATGAAGAATCGCTTTGTAAATAAACAAATAAAAAAAAAAATAAATAAGGTTCAATCGATCTTAGCGTTAGTAAATTTAAATTGCATAACCAGCTACTGTTTCAGCTTTATAATATAATTATTTTTTGTATATTAATTTGATTTGAAAAATAATTGCTGAATGATCAATAATAATATGAAGAATAAGAATTATAACAAGAAAAACACAACAAATCTAACCTACAAACGTGAAGGAACCTATAAAGAAAAATTCAATAGATAAATTAAATGTATGAAAATAAAACACATAGAAACGATCGAACACCAAAAAGATAATTATAATAAAAAAAGTTATAAAAAAAACCTCCAGTATATAACTGATAGAAACATATAAAAAATTTCAATATTAGGCCGGCAAATAAATTTTTAGATTCTCGACATTCAAAAATTTTATTTATAGTATTACGCGATTAACACATGAGTAGGGTGGAGTAAAGTTCGGGTCCCAGACTTTAGGACTGAGTCTTGAAACTTAGTCTTAATAGGATCAAGTCCCTATTTTTAGGACTTAACTAGGACGATTTCAAATCGGTCTTAATATAGATTTATTAAATTAAGTTGTTTGTGAACACAACCTTATGTTGTACAACCTATATATAAGTTGTACCACCTTCTTTGATATACTAAAAAAAAAAAATAATAATAACAATGAATAATTCAATATTCAGAGATTAATAGAAAATAAATTAGGAAATATCACGTTATTTATTTTTGAAATTTCTTTAATAATAGCGTGTTTAGTTTTCTTTTATTTTTTTCAAAAAATTTTTTTTGTTCAAAAATACAAAGTTTACTAAACTATTCCTTTTATTAAACACACTTTTTTTTTACAAGTTTAAGCTATTAAGTAATAATGACTGAATATTCAAATTATAATTTTGATGAATTTGAATATTTTTTGGATTATGATTTTGAGCAAGATTATAATTCTGAACAAGATTATGATTTTGAACCAAGTTACGATTTTGAACAAGATAAACAAAATCAAAATGAATCAGATAAATCTAGTGAAGAAGATAATTATAACAATAGTAATGAAGACTTATCTCAATCTCGTCGAATTTCATCAACATGGAAGTATTCTAATGATCAAACATCTCAATATTCAGAACGTCCAGTTTGTTGCAAATGTCAAAGTGTTTTTGGAAAAGATACTGGTATTTCAACTTTAAAATGACACTTACTATATGTATATAAAAAAATAGATAATGTTAAAAATGTTGAAAAAAATCAAAGCAAATTGAACTTCAAAAAAAACGATCCTTGGCCTAATAAAGAAAAAAAAAAAACGTGATATTGTAGTAACTGAGTGGATAATTGGTGATGTACAGCCTTTTCGATCAGTTGAACATCCTCAATTTATAAAAATAATTAATACCTTTGATTCTCGATATCAAGTTCCAAATAAAACAACTATTAAAAATTTAGTAATGGATCATTTTAAAAAAATCGTGATAATATACAATATGATTTAAATGCAATTCCAGGTAAACTATCATTAACAGCAGATATGTAGACCTCAACATTCAACAATGATGCATATCTTGGCTTAACAATCCACTATATTGATAATAATTGGAAGTTGCAACACTTTTTATTAGATATTTTTTTTTTACTATTCGTTATACTGGTATTAATATAGCAAGTACAATAAAATCTGTTTTGGCGGAATTTAACATTCTTGAAAAAACTTTGGCTTTAACTACTGATAATGAATCAGCAATGTTAATTTGTGAAAAAACTATAGCAAAAGAACTTGCATATGAACTTGATAATCAATCTTTTCGGCATTATAGATGTTCAGCACATATTTTAAATTTAGCAGCACAACAAGGAATTGAAATCATTGATAATGAAATTATCAAAATCCGTAAACTAATGAAAAAATTAAAAATTCACCTCAAAGATGTGATAGATTACGAGAATTATGTTTAGTAGAAAACTTACAATATTATAAACCACAATTAGATATCAAAACTAGATGGAATAGTACTTACTATATGATTATAAAATTTCAAAAAATGTTACGCCCTATTGAAATGTTAGCTGCAACAGATCGGGATATTGGAAATTTGATACCAGATACACAAGGATGGATAAAAATAAATGTAAGTAAGCTAGTATGATTTTATTATTATTATTTTTAAAAAAAAAATTAATATATTTTATAAAATAAATAGAATATTCTTACTTTACTTGAACCATTAGAAAAAGCAACAGTCTTGCTTTTGGCTTCTTCCTATCCTACTATTTATGATGTTAGATTTTTATTTCTTGGAATTCAACAAAATCTAAACGATTATATTGGAAAATTGGATTTTAGTCAGAGCGAGTTAGCATCATCAATACTTCAAAAAATCGATCATTATTGGGAAATAGTAGATTCATCTACCATAGTAGCTACAGTATTGGATCCGCGTTCAAAACTTACTTTATTTGCCATAGGAGAAGAATCAACAAATGCAATTAATATAGTAAAAAGTCATTTTGCTGAATATCATATACCACAACCTCAAACAACATCCATAATCAATCATAACAATAGTAAAAAAACAAGTACTTGGGAATATTTTCATCAATTATAGAAAAGACGATTGGAAAATACAAAGAATATTATTAGTACTACTTCAACAACTGAAAAAACATCTGGAATTTATAAAGAATTTGATCGATATCTTACCTTACCATGTGATGACAATGTTGAACCTTTGCTATGGTGGCAAGCTCATTTTCAAGAGTTTCCAGTATTAGGAACAATGGCACGAGACTATTTATCTATTCAGGCTACCGGTGTTGCATGTGAACAGGCATTTTCTGTTGCAAGTAATACTATAACTCATACTAGAAACAGATTGTGTCCAGAGACGTCTCGCATTGTTATGTTCAAAAAGCTGGCTTGAAAGAGGAGTAGGAGAGAAAAATAATAATATAGGTGTATAAATATCCATGTAGCAAAGTATTGATTTGATTAAAACTGTTAAATAAAAGAAAAATTTTGTTTTGAAACTTAGCTTTGTTTATAAACTGGTAATAAATTGCGGTTAATGATCTATGTTTTAGTATCGCAAATTTTAATATACATGAAGTGTATTACATTACGTAAGTTATATGGCTAATCCATTTCGGGCCTAATATTGTGCAACCTTCTCATAATCACTCTTGGCTATGATTAATTTAAGTATGAATATAATATAATTCTGAATTTGAAACAGTAATCTATTATAATAATAATGACAGTATAACGATTACGTTTTCATATCGATTTGCGGTACTCTTTTTGGTGCTGGAGCAATTCATAACAGCCGAAAACTTCTAGTAAATACATCTCTTGAATCTTTACGGAAGTGTCAAAAAATAATTTTGCAGCATGACCTTGTCACGGTTGATTGACTTGTTTAGTTCTTTACCATTAAAGAATTCAGATACCATCTTTTGAATCTTGAAAATACGTGTTGAACCACCAATCTAAAACTGACTTTTGTCGATTTTAGAATTTCGGAGTAATTTTTCAATTGTTTATCGTAAATCGAAGCAAGTCTTAATTCAATTCTTCAACATTGGTCCGTCTTAAATAAGTATAGAAATTGATATCCTCGAAAAAAGAATCCATTTAAATGGAAGTTCTTTTTGATGTTGAAGGTGTACATTTTGCGCGTTCACATGCAGTTTTTAATCAAAGGAGAGAACATGCATTCGTTGTAAAATCTTTTTTAAAACTAGATTTTGAATGTACAGTACTTAGTATCCTTAATGAGGCAACCGCAGCAACTATTGTTTATGATTTGGACAAGAAAGCACTTGGTGAGCTAAATGTTCTTTTATTTAATCTGGGTGGTGCTTCTTTTAATGTCACCCAATTAACTATTGAAGAAGAAATTTACGAAGTAACGGTGACACGCAGCTTAGAAGTGAAAGCCAAACCAGCGATTAAATAGGCATCTTTTATAGCAAGACGTTGAGAGCCACTAAAGAAATCGGCATTGTACCAAGAAAGCACCTTCAACTATATCAATACCATGAAAGAAATTTTTAGGTGAAAATCTTCTTTTCATCTTTGTATTCGAGCTGAATATAAATAAGCTTTCAATTCTTTCCTATGATTTTGAATGAAGGAATTAATTTATATATATTTTTTTTTTCTCGCAGATGAAAAAAGAAAATTTTGAAAGTTTTGTTCCAAAAATTATTATCCTAACCTAAAACGAGAATATAAAAGATAATAAATTGAGCGATTCAACGATTTTGCCAAAAATCGCCTTTTATTTTCCTTGAGTTCTCTACGTTTACGTTGGTTTCAGGTTATTATATTACTTTTTTTTGGATTTTTTTTATAGTTTCATTTCAGACGCAGATAGAATGATTCGACAAAAATACTTACGCTTTCTCTTTTCTTTTCTTTAAGAATCCTCCGGATTGGATCCCATAAATAGGTGAATTTTTTGATTATTTTTATATTATTTAACTAGATTCATCATCATGGCCGGCCAATGGCCGGCCTTAATATTTGAAAGCAACATATATATTTTATTTAATATTTATAAAATATCATTATTAAATTTGCTGGAATAAATATTGCATATGTATAGATTATGATGTTTTATTAAATTGGAAGTGGTTGTGATGTTTTTTGTTTAGATGAGAATATTCTTTAATTACTAATTAATTTTATCTAAATTTATTATTTCAAATTTTGAACATTGTTTTCGAACGGAACGGTCCGGTTCGTCACTGCGTCGATTTTTTTTTTTAGTTTATTTTTAGTACAAGTATTTGTTGTTAATAATGCTAAACACGCGCATATTGATTCGAACTTTTTTCATTAATGGTTCACAGTGGATCCGATTATTTGTTTTTTGATCCATTGAAAAATGGAAAGAGTAGATTACATAATTGCTACACATGCCATCGAGAAAGTTCATATTAAAATCATAAAACATATTGTATATTTATGTGAGTCTTGTTAAAAATTCTTGATTAAACCATTAATGATCCTCTTTGAGCTAAATAATTTTTTTTTTTTTAATGATCTTATTAAGATTTCAAAACAAGAAATTTCTCTATTATACCTGTATAATTCAATTATATATCAGAAGATTATTCAAATCAATATTTTAATATATTACGGGTGAGTCAGGTTTATAGAATGAGCGGCAAAACAAATTTTTAGATTCTCATGACATAAAATTTTAAATTTGACATGGCCACCCGGTTTTATATATTTATATACATATATGTATTATATATTTACATAAATAAAATTAAAATTTTTAAATCAATCTGTAAAATCTCTTATAATCTCTCATTTAAAATATGCAAATAATAATTGTGCATGTTGAGACAAATTCTAAAATTGGAAGGGCTTCCTATTATTAATGTAGAAGATCTAAAAATGTAATAGTTTATCAATTAAAAACCAAAAATATTTGTTGCATATTTTAGCCATGCAAAATAGACAAAATGGAAAATTAGGATTGGAAAACAATGCATGGCAAACTATTAAACATTTAAATTATTCAGCGACTCTAATGATATACCAGCTTTAATGCTTCATTATCTGCCAGAATTTAAAACTTGCAAAGAAATACTTGGGAACAGATTTATTGATTAGAATATAACAGTTTCAAACGTGGTAAGGATACCAAGGTTCGAGTAACGAAAAAATCGCGAAATTCATGAAATTATTATACTACAATTTTTTATTATATAAAGTCACGTGATTAAATATTTTATAAGCCGGGTCACGAGAATCTTTTTTTGCCTGGTCTAACATGGATTGAACCCTGTTGAGTTTTTAAACTCATTGTGATAAAATTTGCTAAACAATGCACGAGTTTGTATTTTTATTTTATTTTTTTCTAATATTTCATTTATTTTTTTTTTTTTTACAAAATAAAAAAAAATCATAGGTGGTAACTAATTTTTTGAAAGTAAATATTGAAGTGATTTTCTTGAGGGTGTAACGATAATCGGAATTCCGCGAATTTTGTACGTCAAATATGCTTGTTTGTGTTAATCAACAAATAAGTATATTGTTACAAAGGTATAGCTATTTAAACCGTATATTTGAACTTTTTGACAAAGCTTTAATTAAAAAACATATATTAAAGTCGAGCATCGAGATGAATAATTTCAACCCTGATATTGATTGGTTAGAAAGAGCGATATCGGAAAATTATATCAAGTGTTATGATTTTACAGAGTTCACTAATTGGGAAGAAGATAGCTGCGGTTCTTATGGAAATGTTTCATGCGCAAACTGGAAAGGTTCTGAAACTATCATTGCTCTAAAACATTCTTATAATTTGTCTATTAAAGAGATGGTCAATGAGGTAAACTATAACAATGTAATTTAATATTAAATATAACATATTAACTTGTCTTGTTTATGATATTAAAAATAGATAAAAATGCAACGCGAAGTTGATTATCAGGCGTATATTATAAAGTTTTATGGAATATCAAAATCGAATTTAACAAACAATTATTTATTGGTTATGGAGTACGCTGATGGTGGATCATTGCAATCTTATTTAAAGGAGAATTTTAATAACCTAGAATGAGTTGTAAATTTCAACTAGCCTTGCAACTTGGGAATGCTGTAGCATGTATGCATAACGAAGGAATTGTTCGCTGTGATTTGGTAAGAAATAAGTTTGCTTGTTTAGTTACCAGTAATTTTTATCAAATAATATAATCAATATTTCTTTTTATTGTTTATATAGCATGCACAAAATGTACTTGTACGTCAGAAACATATAAAGTTGGCAGACTTTGGTTTATCGCGAAAAATAACTGATGAGTCAAATTCAACAGATATATTTGGTGTTGTTCCTTATATTGATCCAAAATATTTAAATAATATTCAAAATAAGAACAAAGACACACATTATAAATTAAACCCAAAGTCTGATGTTTATAGTGTTGCGATCCTCCTTTGGCAAATTTCAAGTGGGTATAAACCTTTTTATACCGAGAATGTAGAATATGATGCAAATTTAATTATGAAAATTAGGAAAGGAATGAGAGAACAAATAGTCGTGGATACTCACTCTTATTGAATATATTAATTTGTATGAAGGTAAATATTAATGCAATCTATTAATATAAATTTAATTTTATAAATATTCGTTAGCATGTTGGAAGATGACCCAAATGAACGTCCTACGATGCAACAAGTCGTCAAGTCACTTCAATCAATAATGTTGGAAAACTAATGATGAAATCGGTTCCATATTTTTTTCAAATTCCTTTCAAAAAAAACAGAAACAGTAAACATTGATAGCAAGTATATAGTAGTGATTCTGAATTATTCTAAGCAAATTAATTGATTGTGATTTAGAATCAATATATAATGAATGCCATTCACAACATATTTTATATCAAGCAGAAAAGTATTTTTATAAATATCTGATCCCGAAGATTGTGTAGAATTCCTTATTGTAAACTAATTAAGCTTTTAATTAAGTCACATGATGAAGGAATTCATTGAAACCAAACATTTTATTGATCATTGTATTTTTCTTTCAAATCGAACTTCAAATGAGATTTTTGAATGGCGTAACGAAAATCATGTGAAATCAATTTATCAATTTTTCTTGAGATTTTTGTATTTAAATAGTGATATGTGAATCATTTAAATTATTTTTAGGCGCTTCTGAAAATAATGAAGATAATTTCCTATTACACAAGTTTATCTTGCAAATTGTTATAAAGAAGGATTTGGAACTGAAATAAACCATACACTTGCTTTTAAATGGATGCAAACAGCTGTAGAAAATGAAAGTATTTATGGAAATCTTAAACTTAGTATTATTATGAAAATAGGTATAGGTACAGATGAAAGTTTTGATAAAGCTTTTTATTGGTATCAAAAAGCGGCTAATAATGGAAATTTATGTGAATTATTTAATTTAGCTAGATGCTATGAATTAGGAATAGGTATAGAAAAAATGAAAGTAAAGCATTTGAAATATATAAAAAATTTCATGAAAAAAAGTTTATATATGGAAAATATAAGCTTGGCATTTGCTATTATTTTGGAATTGGAACTAATATTAATAAAGAAGAAGCATTTAAAATAAGTAAAGATTTGGCTAAAAAAGGATATGATAATGCACAAGCTTTTATTGGTTATTTATATGAACAGGTGAAGGCATAATAAAGGATTTAGAAATAGCCTTTTATTGGTATCAACAGATAGCAGAAAAGGATAATGAAATTGCACAATTTAATCTAGTACCATTATATAGTAAAGAAATACTTGAAAAAGCATTTTATTGGTATCTAAAGCAGCAGTATATGGTAATATAAAGAGATTTTGAATTGAGCTTATATAGGTGTCAAAAAGCAGCATACAATATAGATAGCATTGGACTGTCTAATATGGGCAAGCATTATGAATTAGGAAATGCTGTTAAAAAAGATGAGTTTAAAGCATTTGAATTTTATCAAAAGGCCGCTAAACAAGAAGATCAAGATAAATAGTGAAAAGATATTAAAAAGATATTTAATCGATCTTCCTTATGCAAAATTTTACCTTGGTTATTGTTATGTTACCGGAATTGGAACAGAGATTAATAAAGAAATGGGATTCAAGTTATATAATGAGCAGCTGGAAATAAAGACAGAAATGTGCATAGCATCGAATCGTTAGATGAAAATTATGATAAAATGAATGATTTAAATAAACTTAATTATTGGCATCATAAAGCTGCGGAAAACGACAATAAATTTTCATCATACAAATTAGGGGAATTTTACGAATTAGGAAAAAGTGTTAGTGAGAATTTAGTAAGGGCATTTGAATTTTATAAGAAATCGGCTAATCAAGGATGCTTATAAGCTCAATATAAAGTTGGATATTTTTACAATAATGGAATAGTAATTGATATTGATAAAGAAAGGGCTTTTGAATTGTATAAAATGGCAGCTAATGAAGGTAGTTGTGATGCACAACAATGTCTTGTATATTTATATGAACAGGGTTAAGGAACAAATAAAAATATAAAAAATGCTATTTATTTGTATAAGAAAGCTGTTGAAAATGGATGTCAAGAAGCCAAATAAATTTAACTAATCTATTAGACTATTAAAATTATTTGTATCTAAACGAATTACTATTTTTTTTTTACTAATAGCAATTTTGTTGAAAAATTGTGAAGTTAAAAAGTATAAATAAATGAACTGTTTATTTGACGTCATTATTTGACGTCAGATAATATATTTATCAATTTGAAATACCTATATTATTTTCTAAGAAACATTTATGGGTTGTTTTAAATTTAACGAATCTTTCGAAATTCTAGAGTTGAGCCTTACAGATAACCCAAATGCGGCTTTATTTAGTGATGTTTATGTTAACTTAATTAATTCGCAAGATTCAAATACTACTAAATTAAATGACATAAATGGCACTTCATTTAGGATTAGAAAATTATTTTTGCCAATTAAAAGTCATTACAAAAATTTATTATTTCATTAGAACTTACTTTAATCGTATGTAACATTGGAATGGGAAGAATATAATTAATTACCCATGAGATTGACTTTTCTACACACTTTTTTATTTTTAAAAATATTATTATCATCTTGAAAATAAATCTAGAATCGTTAAACAATACAAAAAACATAAAAATTATCACTCGTAATTTTTCTCTAACACGTTTAATTATTCTACAAGTATATTTTAAAAGCGAATATATAAAATTTTATTTGGTTATTCTTACATTTCATGTAATTCTGGATGATATATGATCTATAAAAATTTTTTAACACCAATAAAAATAGGATTAAAAATTACACTTGCCCCTTTAAGTTTGACATGAGTTCATCGATAAAGGTCACAGAAATCTCCATTTCTATATTAGAATAAATCATTAGATCGATATTTTCCCAATTTGGCTGATCGTTAAATGTTCTATGATAACTACGAATTATTGTTAAACTATTCAACATTACGCGTAGCAGTTTTGTCACATGCACGCGATAACCCTGATTTTTCAGTTTTTAATATAGTTTAGTTTTTGCTATTAGGTTTTCTCTCTTTCTAGATAAATTTATAATTTTAGGTCATAAAAAAAAATTTGGATTTGAAGCATTTTTACATAAGACATAATAACATTTGAAAGTTTAACCTAGAGACATTCTTAATAAGTGACTATAATTTAATAATTTATATTACACTTACAGTTTTTTTAATGAAATTCTGACAATAGCAAACATCAAAATTTAATTTATTAAATTTAATCAATTACTCTACTGCATCGAATGACTTAATTTAACACTTCTACTTGTATAAAAAAGATAGTCTAAACGTGAATATTATTCACACATATGGACACCTTTATTGAAGAATGCCTTTCTCAGAAAACACCGATATTACGTTTAATTATGGAGAATTAGTTACACAATCCTATAACAAACAATGAAATTCTGAACATTTCTGGAAAAGTAGTCCAAAGCATGATGGAAAAGCTTTCCTTAAATCATTAGGCACAGAAGTCTTAGCGTGATTCGAAATACACACGGAAAGAGGAAAGGTGATCTCGGAAAGTTAGAATATTGTACAAAAGTTATTTAACATCCTTGTACATTTCGCTCCTACCACTGCAAAAGGAAGAATTATAGATATTGAAACATATGGTTTACAATCTAACGTATTTCAACTTACTATATCGGCATCAAAATAACAATGGATGTACAAGATAGCAGTAAAAGTTATTTTATCCTGGACAAGAAAGAATACGTATGTTTTTTATGAGGTGGGTCATAGACGACTAGAATTTCACACCAAAGAAATTAAAGAAAGTTCAATAATTTTTATTATATATAATAATGATTTCAAGTTAAAAGGCTATCAATTACTTATCATGTTTGATGGTGTATAACAATAAAAAAAAATGTCCCTTATAAATATAATGGAAACTTTAATTCAGATGAATGGATAGATGGTATTTGAGCTTATTGAAATAGTCAGTTGTCAAAAAATTACAGTTCTCAAAATATGGCTTATGCAATTTCATTAGTAAACGTTACCATCAGACTCATAAGCGGAGTTGTTAGTTTTAAAAAGCTTCGTAATGTAATTAAACAGGATATTTCCTTTACTGTATTCTAGAATATAAATAAAAGAAATTGTAATTATTAAAATATATTCCCGAAAAAGAATGCGGTGAAAACTTCAAACTTTCACCAATTATAAGATATCGAGGGACAAAATGAGTTTCTTACAGCTGTTTTAATAAGTCACGGGACACTCGTCAAATTTGTTGCCGAATACTTGCCGGCGACCCGGAAAATCAGTTTGCTAGAAAAACATGTGACGGCCAATAAATACCTAATGTTTTATAATTTTGGCAGTGATCCGGCGACTTAAATAATTTGCATTTTTGTTAAAATTCAAATGTGTTATTTATATTATATCACGTGTTTATTTATTTATTTATTTATTTATTTTTTGAGAAAAGTAAGATAAATTCTTAAAATGTATTATTAAGAATTTGAGATATTATTAGAAATGGATCTATTGTAGCTTTGAAACACGTTGCTACTGAAATTTAAAATTTAAGTCAAACTCTACGTTTACAACTAGATGCACGTCTCAATTGATAAGTATTTTTTTATAAATAGAGAGTGAGTGAGCGTTGTGTGTATGTGTGTTTGCGTGTTTGCGTGTATGATAAATTTAGATTTTTCAAGTGATAATGATTCGGTTTCTTTATGGGCAATCAAATTTACGAACGAGCTTCAATCACCGACAACCTACAAATTCAAATAAACTTCTTGTTATGTATTGAAATAATCAATATAAATTCCTTAAATATAATTCCAATGCTTACTTTATTATGTTACATCCTCCGACACCATGTTGATACATTAAGCTAGAAAATCATGAATTATTTTATTTTGATAATTTTCCATTAATTCGAATTCGAAAAGTAGAATTTCTTCATAATTTTATTTATTGAATCATTTTACCTTCAAACTTGTCACTTATCGATATTTCATTAGCGTACGTAATTTTTGATAAAATTTATTGAGAAATTCTTAGAAAATCTCGTCACTTCTAACGGTAAAGTCATCACTTTCTTCCTGTAATCTTTTTTTTTAATGCTTTCGGATTTTTTTTAATTCGAAAAACAAATTTTGTTCAAAAATCAACTTTTTTAATTGTGATTTGTTTTACATTAAGGTTCATATATCCAAATACTTTGAATTTTTTTATTTATTAAATTTTTTAATTAACTAATAATATTACTCAAAAGCCACCCAATATGTGACATAGAATCTTGACAAAACATTTCTGGACCCAAAAAATACTCCATGTGATAATATTAATTGTTATTTCCCGTGTTATTATTATGTCAAAAATTAAATAAAAAGGAATTCCCATTATAAATTAATTTAAAAATAAATTTGTCAATGCGATGATGCAAAAAAAATAAAAAAAAAAATGATGCATACATCAAATTTTCTAAATGAAATTTAATTGTACAAAAGCAATATATAATCTCTTCTCACTAACTTAATTATTGTCGATTTTGCAATGAAATTATTTGTTTAATTTTATCCTCCATTAAACGCAACTTTTCAGATATGTCTTGTTCCATGGACTGAACTTTATAATACAACATTTTACCATCTGGTTCTTTCAATGATTTCGTCTCATCATCATCATCGTCATCCACAAACCAATATAAACATAATGGAACGATTCGTTTTTGTGAATTTAAAATTTCAGAATCATCATCTGGTAAACTAGAGGAACAGGTATATGAATGAGAATGATGATGAAACTTTTGAAAATGATCTAAATTATCCGAATCATCATCATCATAGGACCATGGATTAGCACCTTCTATTTCTTCCAAGAAATTCTTGTAACTTTCTCTAAATTTTTCGGATTTTTCTAACCATTTCTCAATATAATCGGTTTTTCCAAAGTAAAAAATGTATCGAGGATCCCCTTTTCGATTCCCAAATGGTTTATCAAATAATTCATAATCTGCGATCAATTCCGCTCGGTATTTCAGCGCGGCATGTTTACTAATTTCTTTTGCTTGATCGTACGCGCCACTAAATAATAAAAATAAATTTATGTAAAAAAAAAAAAAAATGAAAAAAAATGAAATGAAATTTATGCTTACGCCATAATTGCGATCAACATATTTTGTAAAATCGTAACAAGAAGGATACTGGCAATGATAGAAAAGAAATCTATTGGCCAGAAATCCCATTGATCTAATTGATCCCAACGACCGTTAATCCAAAAGTAAACTGCTTCGATGGACTTAAAAATTTTCGCGAAATGATTATCTGATGTACTATTCACATCTATTTCTTGATTTATCAGCAAATTAGTTAACCCCGGTGCTTGTTCGCCATTTCCATTATAGAATTTGAAGGAGGAACCGTCAGGTTTGATGCCGATTTTATCTGTATTGTTAAGTAAAATAAACCTGAAAAAAAAAAATAATAATGAAATTACATTAAGTCTCCCTCCATCAAAGATGACAAGTCTCTTTAATCTCCGCTTACATAGTATGACCAAATCCGAGGACGATCAGCAATATAAAAATCAAGAAAGATGTTATACTTTGTAAGATATTCATGACAATGTATATGTAAGCTCCGGTTTTCTCAAAGTACCGTAATAACTAGAATTTAAAATGTTTGGCTTTACGAGTAAGTTTATAATATCATATGTCTTTAGAATTAGAGGACTCACCAAAATAATTTCCATCCACATTACTAAAATCGTAAATGCATTAAATATTATGAAATTTTCTTGATTCAGATCAAAATAACTAGCAACAACAGAATGGATTTCATATCTGAAATAAGCTGATAGTTTATAATAAATTTGTATAGAAGCTGAAGTGAATGGCAATATGACCGAAAACAAATCAAAAAAATTGTAAACGTTAAAATATCTTCTCCATCCTAGATATTTTAATTGAACTCTTTCAGTGTTCAATAAATAAAATCCAAAGTAATAAAATATGACTACAAGGGCAAGATTCCTCTTAGATGTTTGAGGATTACCAAGTCCTTCAATTGAATTTGATAAAATAATATATGATAATCCAAATGCAAGATAAGTCATTACTTGTCTTACGAAATATGTTTTTGCCGCTTTCCATTTGAAATCAATTACTGCGGCTATCGACGGATTATCATAAATTTCCGTAGTGTAATCATTTCTTATCATTCTCAAAAATGGACTCAAGTTTTCTTTTTGTTCTATTAAATGTTTACGTGGCCACAACAATAATTTTAAGATGACCATAGGAATGCTCCAGAATCCTGGTTTATCATGAATCTCAACAGGAAATACAGTAAAATCTGGGAGCGGAACCATGTAAACTTGATCAATCTTTTTGATAATTTTCGAATTGTTTGTTTTATTTTTATAACTTCATTTTTTTTTTAAAAAAAAAAAGAAAAAAAGTTAATTTGAATTTCATACCGTCAAAATTGAATTTTTCAATTAATATTACCTTTGTTCTTTTCGAAAAATCATTTTTTTAAAGTCATTTCTCTTGATGAGACCTATATCTATATTTAAAGCATGGATATTCTTATGATCACTATCAATTATATCTTCAATATTAATATCCGAACCATTCAAGTAAATTTCGTTAGAACCAAAGCAAGGCTTTTGAAATAATTCCTTAACAAAATATGCTAATTTATATTCATAAAGTAGGGGAATTGCTTTGGATACTGTAAACATCCAATTCGAATTATTTGTGGCATTATCAGAATAATAATCTAATAAATATTTCACAATAACAGAATCTTTACGGTATTCTCCCTTCGAGTACTTGATAGCGATCTCAAGATCTGTTTCTTTGACTCGCCCGTCCCAAGAATAAAGTCTTGGAATATGTAAACTTTTTTTCATTCCATTTTTATATTTAAAAGATAAAATATTTTTGACAATGGAAACACGATTACCTCGAATGAGATGGGCCATAAGATCATAACGAATATCCAGCATTCTCCATAATCCACTTTTGCTGACTATATACTTTTTGATGATATTTTCAGTTTGTTGAATAATATTTTCAAAAGTGTGTTGATAATTTGAACCCGAAGGTTGATTACTTTTCTGATCTAGAAATCTCAAAGCTTTGCATGCGTCTACCGGAACATTAACTTTATCAGGCCATTCAATTATAACTTGTAGTCCAGGAGAAATTTCAGAAGGAATATATACTACTAAAGAGAATTCCTTATAAGCAACTTGCAAAGATTGAATTTGCATTTCTTGAAAAGGATTTGTCCAAATATACTCTAGAATTCTTTTAGGTGAAGAATCAGTAGCAATTCCTTTTCTTTTGCGCCAAACTTGAACGGTCGATTCTCCAATAATTAATTGAGTAGAATTACTCTCATCAAGATAAACCGTGGTACGATTATAATACTTGTTTTGTAGCCAAGGTTCAGTATCTTCAACTATCGCTTGAACAGTTTCATGGTCTAAACGATTTCCAAGAAGATCATAAGATAAATGATAATCTGTTAAGGTAATAGTTGTGGTTGATGTAGAAGTGATGCCAAATTTTTCAGGTGAAGTCGTGTTAATTACGTTTCTTGTATTATTATTTTCAGGATTCAATAATTTATCAATATTTAATTGTTCTAATGCCGAAATAATCGTTCCATCTTCAGTGATTATTATGAGTTTTCCTGAAACGAAAGCTAATCTTTGAAGATATGCGTTTTCTATGGAAAATAATGAGGAAGTATCATAAATTCTTCTAACACAATTATCAGAACTACTAAATAGATCCCAAATTACGATGACAAGTAAAGGTTCAGGTTGCCAATCATCGCTGTGATGACTTTCTTCCTCGATGATGATTAATAATTTACTATCATTTTCAACGAAATCAAAAAAGATAATTTTTACATCCTTTTCTGTGAACTTTTTTGTGGTAACCTCTAAACCATTTTCCATTAAGTAGATAGTAATGTTATTTGTACCATGACAATAAGCGAATAAGGTTTCATTTTTTGAAATCTTGAAAGAAGAACTACCTATATTTACAATCGAAGTAACGGATTTTTCACGTTTTCGGAAGAAATTGTCCAGCTTTTTTGTTTTTAAATTATATGCTATAATGGATAGTTCCTTATTTTTATAATTTTCTACAACAAACCAGTCCTTTATCAGACAACGATGAATGAAATAAGCACATGTTTCATTTTTTGGTAACCTTTTCAATTCCTCATAAAAACTTTTTGGAAAATTAAATTTTTCAATTAATTTATTAGAATAAAAAAAGTTGGAATAATCACTTTTCCTATTATAATTTACACTTCCAATTGTACCATGTATTATGGAGGCTTTAGTTATTCCGCGCGCATTGATAAGAACTAACTCGGTTGTATCGTCATCATTTTTAGTGTCCAAAAATTTAATTATCCCACCCTTATTATTAATTGGGGAGGCGATTTTCAATTGTCGTGCGGTAGCAATGATGAATGTTGAAGATTTATCTTGGTCATTATCATTCACATTGACATCAGCTTCTTCAACTGAAGAATCTTCATTATAAGGTGGTTGTGGTGATTTACTCTTGTTCTTTTTTACTTTCATATCATCATGATCAAAACAAGATACGGCAATTAATACTTCGACAGTTCCATCGGTCAAAATAAATTCATTGGAAACGGTCAAGCTCCAATTTTTTTTTAAAAAGGGGATTTTGATATTTCTATCATCAAAATTCATTATCATATATGCTTTTTTTAGATCTTCAAACTTATATAATTTTATTTGATAAGATTTGGTGTTTAACGCTACTATCCAGTTACCATTTGGACTTATGGCAACATATTGATGTCCATCGTATTTGTTATAATTTCTCAAAATTACACTCCTTTCATGTGAAACTTTGGGTTTTTTGAATTCTTTGAACACCATTATTTAATGAAGACAAATAAATAATTGGAACAAAAAAAAAAAAAAAAAAAAAAAAAAGGATTTTCGTAATTCTTTTATCAAGGTAAAAATGGTTGTACAGTTATCGTCGATCAAATACATTTTTTCGTTTTTTTAATTAGTAAGAACTGTTATTGGCAAGACTTATTGAAGATCTCAAAAAGTCCCGTAAAGAATGAAAGTATGAAAATTTATTGATCGTAATTAATTCGATATTAAAGAGATTAATATTAAATAAACAACAATAACAACTCAATAGGATAGGAATGGTTAAAAAATGACTTTGTGCAACATTACTAAATTCTTTATTACGAATAATATTTCCCTTTATTGGTTAGATTCCTTCCCCAGGATTATCAAAAAAATTTAAATTATAGTAAAAAAGGTAATTTGTGATTTCCGGATTATTCAATTTCGAACTAAATGAATTTAAAAATAATGATTAAATGAATTCAAAATCATTTTCAATGATTTTTACAAGCTTTCAAAGTTAAGTGATTGATATTATAATATTCTCCACCAGCGAACTTGTGGCGAAGAATTATATTTCGACTTTTTTTATTCTTGGATGACTATATGGGAAGTTTGCTAGGAAAATGGGGCTCTGGGAATTTTTTTTGACTAAAATTAAGACCTTATTACATTTTAATCATATAATATCAAAAACTAAAATGCAATAAAAAACAAAATTTTGTTAAAAAATTCCCAGAGCCCCATGTTCCTAGCAAACCTCCCATATAATCAATCAACTTTTCGCTAGAAGTTGTCGGTGGAGACCGGATGTATCAGTTATACATTAAATATTTGTGTCAAATTTTATGATATAATTAATGCTATTTTTTTTTTTTCAGGAATTTGAGAAAGTTAGACATTGCGATAAGGGTTGTTCGGAAAAACTGTGTCTGGTAGGATATTTTCCTATGACATTCCTGTATTATTTTATCAATAAAGACGGAAAATTTTTCTGGCCGAAATTATCCAACTGAAACTTAGCATGAATAAACAAAAGACGATGGTTTTATTTATAAAATAAGAAAAAAATATTTTTTATTTTTTTATTTGTTAAGTAATTAAATTATATTTATAAAAAAAAGAATTTGAAATGTAAAATTTTTATAATAAATTTAATATTACATAGTATATAATATATGATTTTATTATAATGACCTTACAAAGTGAAAAGAATTATGACGTGCGGAATTTTCTGATATGCGATCTTCTAATTTGTTTCAACATTATACGGTTGCCCGGCAATCGACAATTTGAACTAGCAATAGACCTCCGGAAATTAAAACCTTGATTTTATTCACACCATCATTTTTTTTTATGTAGCCAAAATTTGGGATCCAAAAAAGATCTGTAAAAATTCTACAATGGAATTTATATCATGTGCAGTTGCCGATCATCGATAATAAATACTGGAAATTTTAACTTTGCATGACATGATTTAGGGCGTTCTCAAGCAACTCCCTCAATGTAATTGGCTAGTGATTGAGATGATGCTTATGCACCATGATCAATTTAAATAAGGATCGCAATCAATACTTGAGCAGCTTCTCTTCATTTGAAAATTTATAATGAACAAAATTAATAAAAGAATAATAGAGCTACTACCCAACATAGACAAATGAAAGAAAATGCTTGAAAGACATCTTTTTATACACCATCAATGGTAAATTTTTGCCAATCAGCGAGATTGGATAAAAATCCATTGATTGGCTAGCTAAATGCCGATCTTCATGTGATCAGTCAGTGGAAATGTCACAAGGTGATTTTTTGTACAGTAAGGTCTTAAAGCATACAGTAATGTAAAATTAAAAGTTAGTCAAAGTTAGTTCAAATGGTTAAAATCGACAATTTTCAAATCATAATTCTGGCCAAAATTTTCTTAACTCTGGTCAAATTTATAAATTTAATTTCATTAAAGTCGAGATTTTCAGGTCATAGGTAACATAGAATTTACACAATGAAACGCCTTTTTACGATATATGTAACATTAAAATATATGTCTAGAACAATGGCGTAAAAGTGTCTCTTTGATGAGAGTTTTAATTACATTCCGTTCAATCAGGAACCTAAAGTTAGGGCATTTTAACAAAGTCGAATCTTGATAGTTCTATATCTTTTCAAGAATTTAACTTAAAATATGCTAATAAAGACAACTTAATAGATAGTGATAAAGTGAACTAGATAATAATTTTGACCAATTTACCGTTAGGTTTAGTAATGCATTAAGTGAATTGCTTGTTCAAGAAGATATTGAAATTGAAGCATATGAGGGTGAATATAATAGTGATATTGAAGCAGAATTAGAATAAGTCAATGTTGAATGGAATTTTGATGGTAATCAAGAGGAGAAAGTTAAAATAATACCAAATGATGAAAATAAAAGACCTACTAGCCAAAAATACAATGCGCTTTCAACTTGTGAAATTATTAATAATATTTATAATATAATTAAACAGTGTGATGAAACTTATAAACTTAGAAAAATGAGAAATTTACTTGAAACATGGTGAATAGATAAAGATGCGGTTAAATAAATCAATAATGATCATTTAAAATTAGGCATTTGTGATTCGCATTTTTTGTGTAATCAAAACCAAATTCACAATCCTAAAGAAAAAGTATTTATAGAATTACAGATACAATAATTCAATATCAAAGATGTATAGAATGTAAAAATATTGTAACTTTTTTTAGTTAAGGGGAAGGATGTAGAGCTCATTCTTGGTCAATTAATGAATAAAATATCTAAGTACCTTGTAATAGGACAATATATTGTAATGCATTAAGCAATTTTTTTATATTAAAGCCTGCTTTTGAAACAAAGATATAAAGATTCATTTATTGTACTTGTTACAAACAATTGGATATACATATTCATAAACATTTAGGTCAAGGTAAAAGATCAAACTGTGTTCAAGATAAATTGCATGAAAAAGATATTACAAAAAGAATTAAAGTAATTGCAAATTGGCTTATTAATATTTCCTATATAGATGAAGAGACAAAAAAAGAAGATATTTTAAGATCTATTGTTAAAGTTATTCTTTCTTTTATTTTCACACTGACTAAAACTCTATCATCAACTTTAAACAATTTCCAATCAGATGAAATCTCAATCTTTTCACCATTCAAATTCTCTTTTTCAATAATATACCTATCAGCAATAAAGAATGTGATGATATATACTGTGAAAGATTTGGATGAGAATTTGGAATTAAACTCTAGAAATTATGTGAAGAGATAAATAAGAAAAAAGATTCATAAATTCACCTGAATCACTTTTAGAATATTTTTACGCATTTTCAGATTTTATTACAAAGTTTTTTCAAGAATTATTAATAGAAATCTTTAACTGAAAACTTGCTATTAGTAATAAAAAAAGAAAACAATACAAACAACAAGAAAAATTTTATCCAAAAATATAATTATAAAAATGATTACTCTTTTCATTTCTATTCTTGTTTGTACAGCTTTCTCTTCATGTAGAATTTGATTAACTAATATACTGAGTAGTTTAACACATAAACTAAAATTATTATTATCACTTTATCATTTTTTTACTGTATGAAATATAATTGGACACAGTAAATGCCATGAATGAAATCTAGAGAAAAAACGTTTTAATAAAGTTGTTCCTACACAAAGGTTATATCAAGAGTCAAATATATGGAATCTAGCAATTATAGATAATATAGATTTTAAGCAAAAAATCTTTTCTTTCAAGAATATATATGATGTTACTTGAGACATTTTGCACGTGACCTTATGAATGGTATTTCAATCAAAGATTTTTAATAATCTTGCATCACGTTAAGAAAAGTAGTTACCTTGGATAAAGAAGCCACTAATATGTTTATTATGAATTCTACCACGGAAGAAGCTCTAAATAGATTTTAAAATATATTAGAGAGATTATTAAATATCTAAAAAACAAATAAAAGGAATATAGAACATAATCAAATTTTAATGTAAAAATAATCAAAAAGGAAATATTTAGCAAAATTTAAACATAGTTATTAAGGTCCTTCTTCCTATATTGTGATTCTCAAGCCAGCTGATAATCTAAACTCATATCAAGCAATTTTAGAAGTTGCTAATATGTATAGAGCTGATTTTAATTTGCAAGAAAATGGATATCTTGATATCATTGCTGATAAGGCAATCTTTTATCAGTTAATGAAATGTTAAGTACAATTTCTCTAACTAAGACTATTGCTTAAATAATGGTACACCTCAAAAGACTTCTATTCAGTTCTAATTGTGCTATTTTCTAGCTATAGATTTTTAAATTTAGTGAGAAAATTAGATATTCAATTTTTGGATAAGTTTGAAGCTGCTGTTAACTATCAAATAACATCTAAAGTATTAAATCTTTTATAGTTAGCAATATGAGTTGCAATTAATATATTTGCAAAAAAAAAAAATTATTCTTTTGTCTAAAATAATGAATGGAAATAATGACGAACATATTTTGTTAAAAGCTTGGTACCTTTATTATCGATAAGGCAGAATTTAGAAATACACTGAATAGGAATGAGAATTAGCAATCACAAATTTCAACAGGATGCTCTTGCTATAGCCTTACTTCTTTTATCAAGTGCTGGTAAATCTAATTATATAGTAGCAATTGCTTAACACCTATCTACCCTAATTAAGTATCTAAGATTAAATAAGATTTTGCAATATGTTATAGCATTCAGAATACCAAAAAATACTGATAACAGAAATGAAGATCAAAAACCTGTTTGTTTTAGTTTTGAAATGTTCAGTGTTCATTTTATAAAACAAAATATTACTGGAAATGTTATTGATGAAATAAAATTAAAGGCGAGTATTAAAGAAGCCCAATTAGAAAGAAATAGGGATTAATCTACTCTTAAGCGAATACCTTAATGACATATTAATTTCTCAAAGTAAACATGCTATTGATTACAGAAGGAAAGTATTATGGAAGTTAATTGAAGATTTGGTTATTATTTTTGATATGATAGATTTATTATCTTATGAAATTTTTAAAGATCTTAAACTACTTTAATTACATAAAGAGAGTATGAAAGATTGATCGCATATTATGAAAATGGTTTAGAGCAAATATAAATAAAATATAATAAAGATTAAACCTTGAAATGCATAAGAAAGATGTGCTTTATAAATTCAGAAAATAAGACACAAAGATTACATTGAGAAAAAAAAATTGAGAGGGAAGCAAGGTAAAGGTAAAAGTATTATAAAATATTTCAGTTAGAGGTACCGTATATGCAAATGCTTTATTATAACCTTAATTCATACTTAATCTTACCATGCTATTTTAGCTACAAGTTGATAACTAGAAGTCTAAAAAGTGAAGAAAAATACTTCTGCATAAGAAACAATACTGAGCTGTCTATTGAATTATAATGATAAGATTCTAACCCATGTATATGATAAAATCCTTCAACAACTTAAAACTAAATGAGATAAGAAAAGGGTTTATGGTTGGTAGAATTATTGTATTAATAAAAATTTAATTCATTTATTATTATTGTATTATAATTATAAGATTACAAATAAAGTAATTAAATATATAAACAATAATTTGAAATTTTTACAAAAACTGTCACCTAAACTATTGATTCTTGTTTATATTTTATGAAAAATAATTACGAAAGATGTATATTTGGGTAGTAATCGCAAACTTTCAAGTGTGTTTATAAGTTCAATCAGCAATATAAAAGTAAAAAAGTGAGTAAAGTTACATTGCTAATATTTTTTTATATAAATATTGAAGTGTTATAAAAACTGTAGAAATATGTAGTATAAGACATGAAGTATTACTGGCAAAAGTTTAAAAAATTTTTAATGTATAATTAAATTTTAGTTTTAATATTAACTTTGCACAGTTATAATTACACAAACTTGATTTATTAAATGATCGATATCAATTGTGACATTTTCACTAACTGTGGTGATCTACATTGACTATCTAATAAAATTACATTCATGTGATCTGCAATTTTCGTTAACTTTAAATTAATCAATAAAAAAAGTTTTCTAACAAAGAAATAAAAATAAAAGTGAATAAAAAAAACAAAATTAAATAAGAAAAAGAAAAAGAAAAAGAAATGAAACAAGAAAATACAAAAAATTAATAAAAATAAAAGAAAAAAATTAAAATTAAAAAAACAAACAAAAATTAAAAATGAAAAAAATCAAATAAAAAAAAAATAAATAAAAAATAAATGAAAGAAATAAAAAGAAAAATTCAAAAAAGAATAAAAAAAAAGGAAAAAAAAAGAAAAGAAAAATTAAAAAAATCTACCGTAAACGATAGACTATAGTACCCAAGTATCATACAAATTTAAGAATTTCGAAGGGTATTATATTATAGGGATGCTTTGAATAAAAGGGAGGATACATAGAAATTTATTTTATTTTACTATATTTATAATCAATTAAATATAAATTAAAAAAATATTGATGATCTAAAATGTGGCTTGGATTAAAAGAATACAAAAATCATAGATCATCATTTTTTAGATTAAAATCGCATTCTTATCTCTTTGTACAAAACTTAAATTCATAAATTTGTTTTTGTTTCTTTGTTTCATTTATCTATGCTTTTTTAAGTATAGTAATATGGTTATTCATCAAGGTAAAACAAAAAAGTACGGGTAACAATAAAAAAAAGAAGGCAGTGGCATGCTCATGAAAAACTACTTATAGTAAGTCATGCTGAACAATGTGAAAGCAAACATTTAGCAGTAAGAAGGTTTGATGTAGAAACAAAACAAATCCGTTATTGAATAAACTAAAAGTCTCAACTTGAAAGTGTAGCACCACATATACAAAAGTTACATAAAGGTAAAAGTGCAACACTTCCAAAATTTGAAAAAATCTTTTTCTATAGGTATCTGATTTACGCAAGAATGCAAAAGCTATTACACAAAATATGTTAATTAGAAGAGCCAAAATAATTGCTAAGGAAAAAAAATGGGTAGATCTATATCCAATTATTACTCAATTTAAATTTTCTAAAGCATGGTTAGAGGGTTTATGAAAAGATATAATTTTATTATAAGAAGAAAAACACATATTGTATAATATCTTCCTGATGATCTTTTAATAAAATAGCAAAATTTCTTAAGTTTTGTTTTATATAAACGAATCCAACATGATTATCCATTAAGATATATTGGTAATATGAATGAAACACCGGTTACATTTGATCCATCTTATTTAATTACTTTAGATCATCGTAGTATTTCAACTGTTAATATACGAACTACTAGTCATGAAAAAATAAATTTTACTGTTATATTAGGATGTATGGCTGATGATACAAAACTACTGACTATTTGTATTTTTAAGCTTAAAAATATATTAAGAGAATCATTTTCTCAAGGAATTCATATACGTGTAAATGAAAAAGGATGGTGTAATGAACAAGAAATGCTCTGGTGGATTAAGAATGTATAGACTCAAAGAAATGCACTTAACAAGTTTTAGATTCTTTTCGTGAACATCTTGTTGAATCAGTTAAAAATAGATTTAATGAGAAGCAAACTAATATTGCAGTCATTCCTAGTGGTCTTACAAGTAAATTACAATCTTTAGATATAGCTATTAATAAAAGCTTTAAAGTAAAGTTGCGTTACTATTATAATGAATGAATGAATTTTGAAATTTGCGAATTAACACCTGCTGGAAGAATTAAACGTCCTTCTTATGCTATAGCTGAATGGGTAAAAAAATTATGGGTTGGTGTAAATATTTCTTTAATTCAAAAGTCATTTAAATGTTGCAGAATTTCTGTTGCTAGAAATGAAAGTGAGGATAATTTGATGTTCGATTATGATAGTTTACTTAATAATACAAAAAAAAAGAAAAGTGGGCAGAATAAAGTTCAGAATATTGATGATTTTAGTAGTGACAGTGATGATGATTTTTATAGAGATAGCAATAGTAGCGATAGTGATGATAGCGATAGTGATAATAACAATATTAATAATGATGAGTCTGACATAAATGAATATGAAGAAAAAGAAGTTTTAGATTATGAGAACGAATATTAGTTGGTAGATAAATAATAATTTTGATCATGTTCTTAATAAATTTACTGCAAAAATAAATAAATGCGTCGTATACGTCGTGACTGCGATAAATCAATAAACTTAATTTTATTTATTGTATATGCTGATCAATATAAATTTTTAAGTATAATACCTTATAGTATAATATCTCCTAAAGTGTAATACCCCCCCGGATATCATATAAATTAAGTAAAAAAAATCTTGCACTCTTCATGCATAGTATCCAGACTTTTTGCATCAAAATTATAGGTATAGTACTATACTATAGGGGATACTATAGTCTACCGTTTACAGTAGGTTGCAATACACAACAGCTACTTTAGAAACTGATTAAAATGTGTTTTGAAATGAATAATATACCATCAGAATTATAGATGCCTGCCGAAACCTCCTCAAAATAATTTCGTCATACCCTTTTCTATGTTTTTAATTAAGTTTCGACAGTTTTGGCTTTCGTCATATTGAATAGGTTTCATCGTATCCCTTATTATAATTTTAATATAGTTTTGTCTAAGTTTCAACTGTTATTAAGGGGTTTCGTCCCTCATCTATAATCAGAATGAAAGATAGTCACATATACCCAATACCTAAACCTATATATTAGAATTGTGATATAACAAAAACTCATCCTATCACCTTATTAGATACTACAAAAAAAGTTTTTGTTAAAATTATTACTAATCACCTTTCTCAAATACTTGCTAAACACAATGTCCTAAAAGGAAATATTTATGCTGGTCTTCCTGAAAGTTCAACAGAGGATCTGATTAAAATAATGAACTTAATAATTGAGGATACTGTTGAAAATAAAAAAGACTTATAGATTCTTTTACAAAATTTGTCTAAAGCTTATGATAGAGTAGATCTCAATATTCTCAAGCTTGTGCTCAGAAGAATAAAAATTTCAAAGAACTGCATTTTCTGCATTATCAATCTTTTTACAAATAGAAAAAAATGCTATTCTTACCTAAGATGGCTTTCTGATTTTTATGAAGTCAAGATCAATATTGACCAAGAAGAAGTTATATCGCCTTTACTATAGTATATTTACTTTGATCCTCTTCTGTGTGAAATAGACAGTTTGAAAAAAGATTACACTATAGAGCATTCTTGAATTTCCAATGTTAAAGATATGTTTTTATCCTCTTTATCAGCGCAGGTCTTTGCCTTAGGTTACATGGATGATTCAAACTGGCTTGCACATTTGAAAAAAGACTTAGAAGAAATACTAGAAGTAGCTGACGAATTCTACACTATCACTAAAGCTGCTATCAACAAATCAAAGTCATAACTATTAACAAATACTATCACAACACCACAACCAATACCTATCAAATTTGGATCTAGTATAGTTGATATTAAACCAGAATTTGGCTCCGTTCAGTTCTTAGGAGTCTAGATCAATATATTTAATTCAAAAAACTTCGTTAAAAAATAGACCAAAGATATCATTGCCAAATTTATCACAATCCTCAAATTGAAACTGCTAACTGACAAACAACTCATATACATCCTTAATATGGTACTTTTCCTACTATTAGAATATCGCTTACAGACACTTCACTTTCTTTCAATGAATGTAACAAAATCTCTATCCTATTAAGAAGAATAGTTAAACACAATTCATCAATGATCTCAACTACTCCTGACTGTTTATTCAAAGGCAGCATCTTTTACAACTTGAATGATCTGTGAACACAACAGCTAAAATTGTATTCTATAACGCTTCTTTATCAATTCAATTTAAAATCAATATATAAACACATCTCAATGATTTGATTATTTCAATTACAATTGTAATACTCACTACATACTTCTCCTTTGAAAAAATGAGACAAAAGATTTGATGTTAAATCTTACAGGAATATTATTGGCACGACTTTGAGCTTACTAAAGCATGAAAATATTAGCATCTCTCTAATTACAAATTAATTTCTAGCTAACAAAATCAAAGGCAGCTCACTATCCTTAAACCTCATATTTAACGCTAATAAATTGAAAAAATATAATAATATTCTCTATAAATATTCATTATTATTTATCGATCAGTTCATGAATATCAATAGTTCTCACTTGCTAAATTGGAGAGATATTACTCAAAAAAATGTTTACAATCACATACTCACAGCTCACATTCCTAAAATATATTATATAGTAGAAAGAAAAATTCTAGATAGCTCAAATAGTAGATTAGCATATAATTCTTTTAGATTAAATAGTTTAAATGATAGTTACATAGATAGACCTAGTATAGATATTAATTTAGAAAATTTAAAAAAGGAATTTGTGACTATTCACTACCCTGTTTTGGATGTGACTATCATAGGAAGAATCTTCAGAAAAATGAAAAATCAAAATAACATTCTCATTCAACACTTCATTAAAGCTGACCCCTATGCAAATATTAGTCAAGATTATAATAATAGATCAATTATTCAATGTTCTGGCTGTAATCTTAATAACGAAGCTCTATTAAACTTCTGCTAAAAACCACCCAATCACTTGAGGAAAGTCTTTGGTAGATCTATCACGTATGCAACTTGTATTAAAGGCTACAATACTCTTATTACCATAGTTGTTGAAAGAATTTGTATAACTCATCCACTTAAAATAACATCATTTATCATGAAACAAACTCCTGAAAACTATATTGCATCTCATTATTATCAATTGCTGAGGAAAGATGCTCTTAGAAAATCTATTTTACCCACAACAGATTACCTGACCAATAGATGCATTGAATGCCCAACTCAGTCGACAAATATTTGGCTCATTAGAAAATGTATAAAGAATGTCTCATATCAGGATGAGCTCATTAATCTATCTCACTCAAGTAAAGATCTCAATACACCTAATTTCTACACTGATGGCTCTTTTTCTAATCTAACTTCAGAAGAGTGCAAAATGGGACTAAGATGGATTTGCCCAGATTTATCATGCAACTATTCAAACTCCTTTAATACTGCAGTATTACATCACCTATCATCTATCAGAGCTGAACTTTTTGCTTTCCTTACTGCTCTAATCATTTGTCCTAAACTCTCTTCACTAATAATATATTTGAATAGTCAAGCAGTTATTAACAGTTATTACAATTTTTATCTAAATCATAACTTTACTACGAGGATACGTGAGAAAGTACCTAATTATACTGTCTAGATCTTAGTCAATCATATAATCAGCGAATTGAAGCTTACTATTAAGCTGATTAAAATAAAAGATCATTTAGGGATCATTACAATGATGTAGCTGCTAATTTAGCAAAAGCTGGATACTTTAAATTACCTTTATTACTCAATCTTACAACTTGTGACGATTTATAGCTTCTTCTCAACTTCAACCAAATTCCTGTTGAATCTTCAACCAGGAAATTTTGGAAAAACCTCAATACAGCTAAACAATTCTCAATATTTATGGACCTCAATAGAAATTCACAATTAATTCAACATACCCGTTCCTCTGAGATTCATTAGCCTACCTCTTTCTCCGTATTTTCCTCAAATATGAAAGATACTTTAACTGCTACCTTCTTTATTCAAAGATGAAGAAAAAGCTTTAAATTAAAATCCTTAACTGATAAACTACCTACAATAGACAAACTTTTAGTAAGACGACCTGATTTGTATAAAAACTGGCTTTGTATCTATTGTACATTATTTAGAGAAGACTACCATCATTTGTGAACATATTCTCATAGAATACAGGAAATTACAGAGATCTGCTCGTCTACTTTTATTTTTCTCAACAAATTGATCCTAGACAAAATTGGAAAAAAATAATAATAAGCTCAACCTTTACTCTACCATTAAACATTAGCTTATGGAATTATTGGACTCTTTACTTAACCTTACCTCCTGTATGCATTTGGCTAAAGGAGTCATTCCTAACCAAATGTTCTTACTTCTTAAGAAACTGTTCTTTCTTTTTAACTTACAATGTTTCCTTGTAAATACTTCTAACTTCCTCACTACTACTTTCCATGATAACATTTGGACTTCCAGATGTAAGAAAATAATCTAAGAAGAGAGGAAAAATGGCATCTCCATGAGATTGAAAAAGAAAAAGATCAAGATTAAACATCTTACAAATATAAAATTCTCTAATAAAACTGTATCAAATAGTTAGATTACTTGGTATATCTCAGCTACAAAATTTGGTTTCTTTTGGTTCAATTTCTTGGATAGGTACTGATAGTTTCATTTAAATATCTTATTGACGATTCAATCATTAAATATAGATTTTTTGGTTTTTTCTGAAGGATATTATAGTGATTGGTCAATCTAAACAGATTTGTAATAGAATCATAAGGAATAGTCATAGTTTAATTTTTTATTATTTTTACTTCTTAATTTTATTTGTTTTTTATCATTAATTTTATTTGTAATATTATAACATAAATATAATAAACTTATAACAGTATCACATCATTAAAAAAAAAAAAAAAAAAAAAAAAAAAAAACAATGACAGCGTCAATACCAGCACTAATGCCAATACCAATGTTAGAGCTAATGTTAAAGCTAAAGCCAATGTCAAAATTAAAGTCAATATTAAAACCAGTATCACCTCTAATGTTAGTAAGAAAGCAAGACTTTCAAGGGATTATTTAGGTAACTATTAAATTTTTATTTTTAATATATAATAATAAAAATTCTTAAATTTAATTAATATTAAAACAAAAAAGAAAATGAAAG